CTTATTATAATTTCTTGATATAAGTCTTTAGAAACGTAGGTTATATTTGGGCTTATAAGGTATGAACAGAGTTGTTATGGTGGCATCCCCGACTTCTACTTAAGGACAACAGAAGTAAAGGAAACCTCCCCCTAAGCATTCGAAACCACCGCACAACAGTTCGCTCATCTTCTGCAGAGCTAATCAAGACGTGACCGCTGCTCCTGCGACCATACAGCATTTAAAGTAGGGAGCCTCATTGGGCATCGATCATTCTAGATTCCAGCCATGGACCGAAAGATTTCCTTGAACGGTGTGCACCACGAGTGGGAGGGGTGTGAGCAAGTTCGAGCTCACTTTCGTTTGCGGCGCCGCCTGTTCCAGAACACGGAACCAGGGAACTTTGACCCCAAGTGCGTGGTAATTACAGCTGCTCTGAACAAGCATGTGCTGAAACCACTTCTTAAGCGAATGGGCCATGGCCGTCAGCTTTACAGCATCAAGATGGTTGAGACAGAGCGGCTTGCTGTTCATTCTGATTCGTTTCTTTCGTACAAACTGTGTATTACAGTTGTCATTAAAGACCGCAACACATGCAAGACAAAAGCCTAAAATCAGGATCAAGGCCCTCCACAAGCTCATCTTCCCCAACCAGGAGATTGTGAAAGAGGATGTGAAGAAAGACGCCTGGATGGCGAGATCATTCGCAGTTCTCGTGAAGAGGAAGGTACAGAGAGGCTTGAAGAGCAGGAATGCAGATTTCCGCGAGCTTATGAAGTTGTTGCGGTCCAATGCCGAGGCCTTGGATGTTTATTGGGGTTTTGTTGCTGCACATGTTCGCAATACAATTCCAAGCATTCATATTTCAATAAGCCGTACAGATCATCCTACACCGCCAGGACGACTCTGTCGACCTTGAGGATGACGACGAAGAGGATGACGATGACTTGGGAGATGATCCCTCCGGAGCTCTCAGGGAAGCTGCGGACCTCTCGGGTGAGCAGCTTGATGAGCTGGACCGGGATCTTGGTTTGGCATCTGGCTCGGAGTCTCCATCTGCAGCGGCCATGGTCAAAGCTGTGGAGCCGGAGCCCGAGGATGATCCCTTGGCGGACATGTTGGCCGAGTTTCCTTCACCGACAGATGAGGCAGCTGCAGCCGTGGCGGAGTCTGTGGAGCCTGAGAGTGATCCCTTGGCGGAGATGTTGGCCGAGTTTCCGTCTCCAACAGATGAGGCAGCCGCAGCTCGCAGCGCTAAGTCAGCGGAGGTCGTCGAAGTGTTTGAGTCCCCCATGAAGGTCGAGCCAGTGTCACCGGAGAGGCCCAAGAAGCTTCGCAAGATGCACGTGTTTGGGGATGAGGGGGACCTGAAGAAGGCTTCGGACGAGCTTGCAAGATTGAAGGCCCTGCAGAGCCAGAGGCAGGATTGAATGTAAGTTTAAAGCCAAGGGGTGGGTTTCATTGTTTGCGCGGGTTTTCGCTGCTTTGTACTGGCAGGGCCCAGAAGCTCAAGGATGCCGCAACAGCTCTGGCCGCAACAGGTGGCTGCATTCGGTTATAATCGCTATCTATCCAAAGAACATTTCTGTAGTTTTGCTACATTGGGTGTCTTTGTGAGTTGGTGCTCGTAGCAAGAGTGTTCGGAGTACATGTGCCCCAAACATAACTATTGGATGAATTTGGCAGGTGATGATGGCAAGAGTTTGTGCAACATATTGGGGCTCTCAGAGGGATCCAGCTCTTCATCTGGAGGACAGGCTTGCCTGGACAATGTCGAGACCCAGATGACAGATGAGCAAATGATGGACGGCATTGCTGAGAAGCATCGTGCTTCGACTGGGTCATTGGACTTGGCCTCCAGCCCTGAGCCGGAGCAAAAGCTTCTGGACAACGACGCTGACAAGAAGCCATCCAACTTGCCTGTGGTCGTGCATCCGAACAGTAAGTTTAAGAATACTGGGGTTTGCTGGGCTTTGTAAACACTATCTCATCAGTTCAACACGATAAGAAGATGGGGTCTTATACTGAATTATGGTATCGAGGTTACTCGCCGTGACCAGATGTCTTTGAAGGCCAGTGTGAAGCAACGCAAGGAGGAGAAGGCCGCCAAGATTCAGGCAGACAAGTTGAAGAACAAAGGTGGCAGCAAGGCCAATTCTGAGGATAAGGCTACGCCTGAGGGAAAGTCATCGAACGAGTCCGAGGCCGAGGGTAAGCCTACGCCTGAGGGTGAGTCATCGAAGGAGTCCGAGCTCGCGGGGAAGAGTGCCAGCAAGGCCAAGGCTAAGCCTGTGATCTGGGGTTCGCCAGAGCACAAGAAGCGCCGCAAGATCAACCAGAAGGCTACGGATGAGGAGGCGGGGACAGATGCTGTTGACAATGCCAGCGAGGCAAATGCGACGGTACGCTACGACACCCCCGTGACAAAGCCGAAGCCCAAGAAGGCCAAGGTGATGAAGCGGCCGAGCGCCAAGGCCAAGATCCCCAAGAAGGCGGATCCCAAGCATCCCGAGGACGACGAGCCTCCAGAGGATGCGCACGATGTGATCCATGAGCCCAACCCCGTGATGCTCAAGAAGACGTTCGCTCGCCGCTTTTGTCCAGCTGGAGTTTGGAGCCAGCTTAAGTGGATCACAATCCGGAAGGCTTTCGGCTACAAGCTTTACCGCAAGCTAGACAACCCAAGCAAGTACGAGGATTGTGGTTTTCGAAAATTCCATAGGTTCCAGATTGTCTTTCGCTCTCAAATCGTAGTAAACGGTGGCATGGCATATATGGTTGTAGTCAGACTGTACCCCGGTATTCTTTGGATCAGTCACATGTACATATGCACCCACTCATAGGACTGTTTTTTGGCTCGACCTTTATACACTTACTTGAACAAAGGGTATATTAATATATTGTTTTAGACCACTAAATTACATGACATGTAAAAAGATAATATAGCCCATGTAACCCACATACAAGTTACACTTAACCCGTTATGATCACCAACCCCTTTGGTTTGTTCTCTTTCAGGACAAGTTTTTCGATGCTTGCACCGTGTATTTGGACACGACGTCCTTGCCTGTCTGTGCCGAGACAATCGAGGAGCGGATCCGTGAGGCTGCCAGCCAATTTCTCTTGGAGCATGGCGCCCCATGATGTTTCACATGATTCCGTGGTCATCTCATTTTGGTTCGTGCTGCTTCCATACAGGATCATCTGCTGGAGAGCTGTGCAAAGCATTCTAGATTCTAGTTGTCTTTTGTACACACAAGTAAATGTCGTTTATATATGTACCATGTATACCTGATTGCCATCCCGATCAAGGCGCACCCTCGCTCCGGGTCTATAGGAAATATGTAGCTTTAAACGGGGGGACACAGCAGCGGCAGCAGATTAACGATCCTGTTTAGGGGAGTGCACATTCGTGCAGGCATCACATGATGTTCCGATGCCACGGCGAGTTGGGGTGCAAAGAGTTGAATCGGTACGTTACAGGGCTCTTCTGTAGAACGACATTGGGCTTCTTCAGCTTCTTGTTGGTTGGGGCTTGTTTGATCTTTGTCGGGGTGTTTGTTTCGCTACACAAGATTCTGAAACCTGGCTACCAGCCATCCTTCAAACCCCTATGTGTTCTCTAGGATAGATTATCCTCACTCCCAAATAGACCCGATAACGCCCACACCCACATTACCTGGTCTTCAAGTTAGCTTGCCTTTGTCTGCTGCTGGTGCAGGCCATGGCTTGGCGGGTCCGGATGGGCGTCGACAATGTCCAAGGCGATCGCACGGCCTGCCAGTTTATCAGGGTTGAGCGGGTGCTGTGTGCATGTGCGACAGGGATCATACTTGCACATCCGCAGGATCGAATGATTTTGCACTCAATGTGTTCGCTTTCTATCGCTGGGTTTAGGGTTTAGGGTTTATAGGGTTTAGGGTTTATAGGGTTTATAGGGTTTAGGGTTTAGGGTTTATAGGGTTTAGGGTTTAGGGTTGACGTTTTCGTCGAGGGAAGATGCATGATGTATTGCAAGCACTTGATGTTATGGTCAGATTAGATCAAAGCAGTGTCAGCTGCAGCCATGGACAATGTTGTTCGAAAGCTCTGTTGGATCGGGGCCCCTAAAGCCACTAAGCTGCATTTGGTGCGGGGCTTCCTCTCATCTGGCTTTTCCGCAAACAATACGCATGTGCTCTGCTAGTCTGAAGCCAGCCTGAACATCGAGTCGATTCCACCAACTGGCCCAGGTGCTTGTTGCCGCCGTAATTCTGCTGGCCTTCTCTGAGAATGTGGACACATTCAAAGAGGCCAGTGTTCCGTTGTCTACGCAGGGACTATAGGGTTGGATTTCGTTAGCGTTGTATGTTTACAAGAGTTGTATTTAAAGACCTAGTCTGCACTGGTGGCAATCCGCTGCAGGCTTACAGCTGTATCGAGCTCTTCGCTGGGAGGGCATGGGTATCAAAATGCTTTCGTCTGGGTGGCCTTGCAACAGCATCACTTGACATAAATATGCAGCCAACGGTCCCGGGAATGATGAACCCCTTTGACCTCCTGACACCTGCTGGCATGGCGCATCTAGGCTAAAACCCTTGAGATCTGGCTTCGAACCTAGTCGAGTCCTGTACTGCCTACCATAATACTACTACTACTACTACTACTACTAAAATACATATATGT